CCAGCGCCAAATAAATCTGCCTCATCATTTCTTGCTTAGCCACATGTCTAAGATTTTTGAAAACAAAAGTGAGTTTTCGCAATCTGGACACGATTAAATCGATATGTAGTTTGAAGGACAGGTTATTATCGATGACGACTCCCAAGTACTTCACGGAGTTTGTTGCTACTAAATTAGGACAAGGACAGTCTATATCATTACAACAGCTGTGAGCTGTTAAATAGTGCACACCCGAGGGCATATTTAAATTACGCATTGTAAATGTAACATACCTGGTTTTGTTCCTGTTTAGAGACAAGGAATTGCTCTGAAGCCAATGTGTAACAATGTTCAAACCATTTTGAGCTGCTTTGAATACTTTTTCCCAAGTATCTTCGGAAAACAACAAGACTGTGTCATCGGCATACGCAATAATTTTACCACTCGGTAAGACTAAATTACAAAGTCCATTTATATATACCAGAAAAAGGCTAGGTCCAAGGATACTGCCCTGAGGCACACCGTGAGTAATAGGTAAGTCAGTGCTACACATATCACTTATTTTCACACATTGAAAACGATTTGATAGATAATCAGTAAACAATTTTAATTGGGTTCCTCTTATGCCTAGATCTTCAAGTTTTTGAAGGAGTGAAACATCTAGTACATTATACACTCCTGCATGTGCAGTGGATATTTTTGGTGATAATGGGATTTTGGTCCAACCTGGTTCTTGGAGAAATGACGTTCAGAATGACGGTGCCCTGCAGCGTCTGAATCAAATACCACGCAGAGCAACATTAAATGCAACTCAGATAATAGAAGAGTTTACTTCATATTTCTGTACAAACTCGTATATCAAATAGACTTATATATTTCGCCAAAATAAACTAAATTCCTACTTAATTTACCTCCTACATGTCTCTCCGTGTTTATTGTAGGTAAACATTCATTGATGTCACCCAAAAAGCTTTCCATTAGTTCGTATAAAAACCATATGGGTTTATAAATATCATTTATACCGGCACCAGGTTTAATCGAAGCTTTTTTCCTTCTCAAGTGCCCTCTAAAAGTCGCCATTAATGATTGTTTTTGTTTTTTAACTCTGTATTTTTATGATATACTGTCACAACTGTTTACTTTTTTATGTTTTGCTGTATTCAAAAAGTTAGAAAAAAGTACAGGATTTGATTACTAATTATGAGTGGATTAGTGGAACTTGTGATATATGGACAAATCCGCCTAAAACATGCTCACGCTTAAGTCTCACTGGTCATTTTATTGTTGGACCTAAACGCCTTAAAGTTATACTAGGTGCTGAAGTACTCGAGAATGACCACACCGGATCATACGTATATTGAAGAAAAATTACGAGAAATGGTAGACAAATGGAATATCGGTAATAAACTATTTCTACTATTGCGTGACAATGCAAAAAATATGGTCAGCGCTATGCGAGGTCAATTTGAATCTTTAGGGTGCATGTCACACACACTACAGTTGGTAGTAAAAGATGCATTGTTTTCGGAGGAACAACATGACAGACATGAGACATATATATAGTAGGACACTTCAAAAGAAGCAAGCAGTCTTCTAGAAAATTTACAGAATGTCAAAATCAATGCGGATTACCAGTACACTCATTAATTCAAGATATTGAAGTTATATGGAACAGTATTACAACATGTTATCAAGATTGTTAGAACAAAAAACTGCCATAAATTTATACAGTTTGGAACATGGCCGTATTAACATTTTTTCGCCTTCGGACTGGGCAATTATAAAGAATCTTATTGAGGTACTAAATTTTTTTTATGAAGCCACACTTGATCTGTCATATGATAACGCATGCATTTCCCTGGCAATTCCTTTAATATCACTATTAAATAGAAAGCTGCAAGCACCAGTTTCGGTCGGACACTACGTATTTTTTGTAAAACAATGAAATTAGATTACTTACCGATGAAAAGTTATTCCTTTGCACTTTGCAGTGTTCCTGCAGTTATTACTGCAATACCTCAATACACATCAAGGCATTTTTTATGATTTTTACCGTGTTTTTGTTTATTAATAGTCAAAAGTACTACACGCGAAAGAGCTAGCAAGCGACTGAATGAGTTGCGGCGCGATCGCCGCAGTTGAACGAGACAAAGTAAAGATTTGCGGTGTCTTCTCTAGTGCGTAGTACTTATATCTCGATGCTGACAGCCGAAAATTGTGTTCATACTTTAAAAAAGTGGCTTTCTGAGTCCATATCTCACTAGATACCGATATTGGGGCAATAGTGACTGATGGTCCAAATGTCATGCTGAAGGTTGGAAAACTTGTTAATTGCAGAACACCAAGTTCATTTTGCACACGGTATTCACTTAGCCGTTTGTGATCCGTTTGTATGAGAGTGATGATATTGACGACTTGGATGATGATAGTGAAGAACTGAACTCAGGATTAGTCATTCAAACTGGAAATGGTCGGGATTTGACTAATGATCGGAATATTAATGAAGTAGTAAAGAAAGTTCGTAAAGTGGTTCTTATTTTCAAAAGAGCATCCTTGAAAAATGATACTATATGTTATATATGTAACTAGTAGGTAGTTTGTATTTAGTCTTGCAATACACGCAGTCGAGTACACTTGTCTTTTATTTAACATTGGCGAACGAGGAAAAAGATGTCAGTTGGTAAGATTTCCGAGTTTAAAGTTAGTACCGGGAACTGGTCTAGCTATATACAAGTAGAAAGAGTGGAGATGTACTTTCTGGCTAACAAGGTCGAAGAGGATGTCAAATTACCTACTTTAATCACTTTTATTGGAGAAGATACCTACGAACTGCTGTCTTCTCTCGCCAGCCGCATAAAACCAGCTAGTTTGAAGTACAAAGCGGCAGTGGAACTTCTTCAAAAGCACCTACAACCGAAGCCGTCGGTGCTAGCTGAGAGGTACCGGTTTCGTCAACGGAGACAGTTAGCGGAGGAATACGTATCGGTTTTAAAAAAACTCACAAGGAATTGCGAATTCCAAATGAATTTGGAAGAAAACCTTCGCGACCAATTTGTGTGTGGTATAAAGAGTGAAGTCACACGGCAACGACTTTTTGCGGAGAAGGACATTGGTTATACACAATCAGTGACATTAGCATTATCGTTGGAAGCGGCGGAACGCGATGCGGGAGCAGTCGTATTACAAAGTGAACAATTAGTGCAGAGTGACCCTGACCCCTGCGGAACACGGCACGACATGGCCCTGCGTCTCAAGACGCCATCTCGGTCCTCGAACATGACGGTTCGCTCCTCAAGATAGTCTGCCACTAGCCGCCTCAGGTACTCTGGCACTCTGTGGTAGCGGAGCGCTTCCCTGATGCAGCTGAATGGCAGACTATTAAAGGCGATGTCCAAGGACACCGCCAACACCACCGCCTCATCTCACGGCCTCTTCGGTCACGGCCCTAAGGCGCATTACAGCATCGATCGTCGAACGCCCCTCTCGGAAACAGAATTGGGCGTCCGACAGAACGGGGCCAACCTCACAGAGGTGCCGGACGATGCGGGCAGAGAGTACCCTCTCAAAAAGTTTACCCGCCTCGTCCAGCAACACGATAGGCCTATAGGCCGCGACCGAATCGGCAGGCCGTCCCGGCTTCTTCAGCAGGACCAGCTTCCCGCACTTCCAGCGCTCAGGGAAGCGTCCGGATGCCAAGCTAGCGTCCAACACTTCCCTGAGGTGGTCCGAAATGTAGTCGAGGGCTCGGGCCATCACTCGAGCTGGAACCCCGTCCGGCCCGAATATACGTTTCGGCATATTATGAAAATGACGATGATTGACGGCAAAGTATGCAATGCAGCCACAAACACTTCTTCAACAAGTCGTTGTTTTATATGTGGAGCGACATCAAAAGACTTCAATGATCTTAGTAAAAATAATGTAGTAAAATGTCCCGAAGCTCTCGAGTTTGGAATCTCTAATTTACACGCCAAGATACGGCTTTTTGAAAGCGTTTTGCATTTGGCATATAAATTACCAGTAAAAAAGTACAGAGAAAGGAGGACCCCAGAGGAAAAGTTGTTAGAAGAACAAAGAAAAGGGGAAATTCAAGAAAGATTCCGAACAGAAACTGGCCTTTTAATTGATATGCCTAAACATAACTTTGGTAACACAAATGATGGGAATACCAGTAGACGCTTTTTTGATGACACTGAATTGGCTGCTGAGATTACAGGCATTAACCATGAAGTTATCCATAGGTTGAAGGTTATATTAGAGGTGATTACCAGTGATCATAAAATTTTCTAAATATAATAACTACGCTTTGGATACAGCAAAGTTATATGTTTATCTTTATGGATGGCACCCCATGACGCCAACAATGCATACGATTTTAATCCACGGTGAAAGCATCATCGAACATGCATTGCTGCCGATAGGACAGCTCTCAGAAGAAGCGGCAGAGGCACGCAATTAACACTTTCGCACCTACAGGCTTAATTACGCGAGAAAGTTTCCGCGAGAAGAGTGCAACCTAGATATTTTTCATAGATTATTATTATCATCAGATCCATTGTTAAGTAGTTTGAGGCCAATCAGGAAAACCTCACATAAATCTTTTTTAAGCGAAACTATTGCAATGTTGTTGCCTGCGGATCCAAATGACACCGAAAATGAAATATCGGACTCCGACACATCTTTTTTTTTAAGAATAATAACTTTTTATAAATTTTTTAATCAAAATGTCTTTTATTTTTTTCATATAAGTATACTTATTTTTTTTTTTTTTTAAATATACTAGGTAAATATATGTATTTATATATATATATATATATCTTGGATCTCTTAATAATCAGTCTTTATTCAGTATCTAGTTTTAAACCACAGCAAGTTGTCACTAAACTTAGAATTATTATCATCATGATCAAAATAAACTAATAACCAATAAAAATAACGTTATCAAAATAAAAAGCATTTTAAAAACAACATATATTTTTTAGGTACGTGAAAGCTAATGTCCTATCCTAAATGTCCATATCCTAAAAATCCTCATTAAACACTCTTCTGTATGTATGAATCTTAGCAGGTACAACTCCACTATTTAGGCATCCTGTTTGGTAATCTGGAAAAATATCTGTAAGATTTTTACCCCCATTAATAAACTCGCGAGTCGTTTGTTGTCTTAGATAGTGGGATTCTATTCTAGGAATTGAGTCAATATGTTGTTTTATGCCCTGTATAACATCTGGACTCAACTTATTTTGTTTCCCATGTTTGCCCCTCTTTTCTTCTTCAACAAAACCTGACCCATTATTTTTTGCTATCACCATAGTTAAAAGTCTCAAAGGGCCTCTACATGGTGGACCCATGTCCCCATGCAAGCCTCTCAAAGGACCGGGCATCGTCCCGTGAATAAGTCCGCTGAGACAACATAATAATATATTATTTTTTTTAATCTTAATATTTATATATATTTATAATTTTTTTTTTACTCAATACAGTGTTTCATTTTATAATAACCTCTTTTAATTACTAAAACCCCATTTCATTTTAGGTTTCGCTTTATTTTGTATTAGTAAAGCAGTTTATGAAAGATTGTTTAATTGATTGATTGTATAAGTTTAGAGTTGCAATCATGTTCTTTGAAAATTAAATTTTATGACGGGTCTTTTGTTTATCCATTAGGGCACTTACGAGCGGATGTCAATTGTAAGAGTAAAACCAAAAAACTTGATTTGTATGTAATGAATAATGGTACAACAATTTTGTTAGGAAGACAATGGATTTCTGAATTAGCTATTCCTGTTAAAGTACCACAGTTGGAGTTGCAAAATCATTTTAAGGATGAATTAATTAATAAAGAAAAGTTAATTAAGGATATAATTTGTAGGCATAAAGGATTGTTCGACGGCACACTGGGTCGGTACACGGGGGCCCGCGCCGAGCTATTCGTCCGGGACAGTGTGCAGCCTATCTACTGGTGCGCGCGGCCGGTCGCGAGGTCGCGGGGAGCTGGACGCGATGCTGAGCGCCGGGGTCATCGAACCGGTGGAGCGCTCCGACTGGGCAACTCCTCTGGTTTTAGTACACAAACCTGATGGGAATTTGCGTGTGTGTGCGGATTATAAGGTAACTCTGAACAAGGTGCTAATGATTGATAGGTACCCGGTTCCAAAAATGGACGAATTATTTAGTGACCTTAGCGGTAATAAATATTTTTCAAAATTAGATATTTTTCAAGCGTATAATTCCTAATATTTCACTCTTTTTATTGTTAAATCTCTTTATTACAGACCAATTACATTTTATAGACATGCGGTTCTTACAGCTAGCAAAGCAAGGTAGGTTTTGGGGTTCTCATCTGACACTTCCATAGACAATCATAGACGAACCATAAACAATACAAAATCACTATTTTAACACACCTCCTTGATTTTGTTATACTTTCTTATTGTTACATTTTCACAAAGTACTTGACACAATATCCTAACATACAAAATATACTATCGTAGCTGTTAATTAACATCTATTAGCACACACAATTACAAGTTGAAAATTAAGTTTATCCCTTATTTTATTATTTTACCCCTAACATGTTTTAATTGTTTGAAATTTTACTTTACACCATGATGTGGTTAATATGTCAGCAATTTGCTCTTCAGTTTGATTTTTGCACACATTAATTATATCTTTCTTTTCAAGATCATGAACAAAATGATAGCTTATATCAATATGTTTTGAATTTTTACAGAATTTACCATTTTTTGATTTTAAATTTTAATTGAATTAGTACAACACCAATATCACTGAACACTCCTTTTATAGGTAAAACTTCTTCAACACAATCAGCTAAGGCATAATATTCAGCATGAGTTGATGAAGCTCTTGATACAATTTTCTGTTTTTGTGATTTCCAAAACACTGACTCACAAACACACTATTTCCAAATACTTTAATTGCTATCCCTGTGGTAGACTTTCTATCATGGCACGGTGCACCGCTGGGGTAGACCGCAGCCAAATGTGCTTCCGCTGCGGTCAACCCGGTCACAAGGCTGGCATTTGCACTGGCAAGCCAGCCGACCATCAGACCGGGTCAATGGCCTGCGCCAGGCCCAAGAAGAAGAACAATGCCAGTATCACGGATATGACAAAGAAGGCAACCAGCTCCTCGCAGCCGGTTCACCCGCCGGTTGCGGCAGAACATCCGCCGAGGGCTGGGAGGGAGACAACGGACACGGACATCAATCGATACCGCGCTCTTAGATTATTTGAAAGCCAACCGGACAGCGAACCCTCTACAAAAATTAAGAAACAAAAAAGTAAATCTTACTCCAGGTAAGTCTGTTTCCTTTCAATTATTCATGACGAAAAAGACATATCGAAGTAACATTAACGAAGCTCAGCAGACTTTTCTTGATCTAGAAACGAGTCTTGATGCAGAGCGAGTGATCGATGAGCCTAATTCAGAAACCCGACCAAAAGTTACTATTCTTTCAGAAGTAAGGTTTAGTCCATATAATTGCGCCTATACAGACTTAAAAAAGATGCTTCCATGGAATCTTAAAAACGTAGATAAAAGCTACAATATATTTAAATCTGAAAGTAAGGAGAATCTGCCCGTAATTCAACCTAAAGAAGAATTTTTAGAGTACATAGATTACGAAAACCAAGTACCATCAACGTCTGCAGATAAGAAAAGGTTGATACTTAAAGAACCGGAGTCATGTAATGCAAAAAAGAAGATAATGAGAGACAGTAGTGACGACAACAGCGAAAATAGTGACAGTTATTCCATAAGAGATACTTCTGAAGATGAATGTTTTATACCATCGGAATCAGAATCATGTGAAGATTTTGAAGAACAAAATGTTCAAAATACATTGAAAAAATGTGAAACTCCTCGGGTTGATAGTTACGTTTTGGTTAAATTTTGTGGACCAAGAACCAACAAATACTATGTTAGAAAAGTATTGGATATTATTGATGATTCTGTTATGAATGTTAAAGGACAATGGCAGGTCCCCATACATAATTTTATTTGAAGTGAAATGACAGCGTTTAAATATCAAAAATGGCTATAACCCTTGAGAATTTATTCTTGATCATTCTCATAAAAAAATTACTAGCGAAAGAAGTCTAGGAAAAAAGATATTGGATTTTGAATGTTTCGAGGTTAAGTACTAAAATATTGTAAATGTTTTGTTTGAAACTAGATGGCGTTGTGTGTCATATATTCGAAAATATTATTCATCATTATTATTACTCATAAGCGACCCTATTTTGCTGTAGAAAGTGTTAGCCGATTCTCTAAAAGAGTGAAGGAAGGAAGGCTATTTGCTTGGCATGTATTGGTAAACAATAGAAAAAAATCTTCGCTTACATAGCAGGTGTAATACTAGCTATAAATAAATAAATTATTAATAATAATTTGAATAAATGTACTTCAATACACATTTACACAAGGCGGGAGCATTTATTTATTTATTTAGTTATTCAACAGTCAGTAGTTGTAACATTATTTACTAAAATCTAAAGCATGCATCCATTATATTGAGATTAATGCACAACATTTTAAGGCATCACATCATGCATAATGGAGTAACACTATATGAAATTAAAATCAAAATAAACATATATGAGAGTTTAATACTAAACAAAAGTAAAACAACCAAACAAACTACAATTGGCTTGTGAGAAATGGTATGTAAGTCATGCGTGTAAGTGTCAAACGACAAGACTAGTAAGTGCGACGACGACGTATCGACATTTTAAAAATATCGATGTATGCCTATTTATGTGCCGTTATCAACCTACAATGTCTTTTTCTCATCACACTAAGCAGTATATTGTTTTAGTATTTTTCTGTAGGAAACTAACGTAACTATATTATATTTATTTTGGTGTAGCAAAAATCTTTTAAAAAGTGTCAAAAATATACTAAATTATTTCTAATTAGGTTGATTTAGTCACTACGGTACTAGTTACGGTAGCGTATGAGTAAACCTGTGGGCATATTTAAGCCAAAGTTATAATAATCGATTATCGATAAAACGTTCCATAATATGATAATGTCATCACGCATCCCTAGTCAGTTCGTGATGGCGATTCTGACATTACGTACTTAGGTCAAATAAAATCTTTAAAAATATCCAATCTCTTATTAGACTTATACAACACATGGCGGTTTAATGATAAATCATAGAAAAAATATTTAGTTAGTTTACTGTTAGTCAATTTTTTAAACGCTTCAGTTTTAGGTAAATATGTTTCTGCCATTGTTCTTTCTTACACCTTCAACAACTGCTAACGCCTCAAGCTCATAACTATGATAACTTTGCTCAGTTTGACTAGTTTTCTTACTCATATAATGAACAGGATGTATGAAGCTCTGTATCTAAACCAACTTCAAAGATCTTCAGTACAGGTTCACTGCACAGCTTAGTCTTCAGTGTTTCAAGTGCGGTTCTTTCTTCTTCTCCATAATAAAATTGTTTGTCTTTCTTTAACAAGTCGGTCAGAGGTTTAGCTATGAGTGCATAATTCTCAATATACTTGCGGAAGTATGAGGTCAACCCGACAAAACTATGAACCTGTTTAGTTGATTTTGGCTCAGGAAAATGTGCAATTGCCTTGTAGCGGGAAGATCGAACGACCCTTGTTTGCCACCGCAGTAGTCAACGCGCCCCGCGCGCCCGCTGTGACGCACGATGCGCAGGCGCAGGCCAGCCGTCCTCGGATCGCTAACGCTCGGTCGAGAGCGACAGTAACAAACTGACATTGACGCGGAACGTACGCTTGTTATTTACAAATTAAACGCTCTCAACTTTAAAAAAAAAAAAAAAATCATACTATAATCAATTCAAATCTAAAAATGGATGATATAAATTTAGATCCCCGAAAGAAGGCCGCACCTTTGCCTACCCATTGTGACACCCCTCTTACTTTAAACAATGCCAGAAAGGCTCTACTGGTCCCTGCTCCAGGGCAACACATTGACAAACGCAACTGGGTGAGAAAAGAATATGAGGAAATGAATAGGGCTCTATATTTTAAAGAGCCCAATTTGTTTGATCTTGCTAAAGTTCAATTCACATTCCTAAATCAACTACCTATTCCTATTGCAACACTCCCACTTTTAGAGTACAGACAGGCTTTGAGAGTAGCTAAAGAACTTTATACTCTGCAAGTTTTAAATCCGTTAAAACATCTTGGAGTCTCTGGTGTAGATATTGACATCCAACCATTAACAGCAAACAAACAGCTGCAGAAATTATATCTAATTAAGTGTTTCTGGGAGGAGGCAGTAATTTTGAGTGGGTCTACTACCACAACAAGTGGATCTTGGTGGACTAAAAGACCAAATAAACTAATTGAATATCGACTACCAGGACTTGATATGATCGCTGGCTCAAACCTGTTTATGATACAAACCACTTTAAACACAATTCTGGTCTCTCGAGATCATTTAACAATCTTATCTGACTTAGCAGCGGAGCGTTTCAATGTATATTTCCAGTCAATTCTGGCTGAACTTCAAGGATCTCAAGATACTCCCACCCAGAGTGAATTGGACACTTTTATTAAAACAGGGGAGTCCGTTTCTACACAGTAAAGCAGTGATGGAGTAGAGCTGTTCTAATTCTACTCCACAGTGGTGACCCCGATACGAACACCAAGACTCAAGATGCCTGGTGGAAGTGGAGGAGAAGCAAAGGCCGTAGCAACTGAAGGAGATATGGGTAACATATGTCGTGTGGGGGTACGTATACCTCCGTTTTACCCAGATGACCCGGAGCTGTGGTTTGCCCAACTAGAAGGCCAGTTCATATTATCCAACGTGACCAGTGATTCTACAAAATTCTATTACGCAGTTTCGCAGTTGGATCACACGTATGTAGCACAAATTAAAGATATTTTGTGTGCACCCCCGGCGGCGGGTAAGTTTGAAAAATTAAAATCTGAACTAGTTAAGCGATTAAGCGCGTCTAAAGAAAAAAAATTAAAGCAGCTATTCTTGCATGAGGATATTGGTGACCGTAAGCCATCACAATTTCTACGACACCTAAGAAATCTCGCCGGTCCCACTGTGCCTGACGACGTGTTGCAGTCGTTGTGGACTGGTCGCTTACCACATAGCTTGCAAACAGTTGTAGCTTCGCAGCCTAAGCTGACGCTTGACGATCTCGCCGACTTAGCGGACCGCGTGCACGAGATAGCCCCTGCATCACCTGTTCATCACGTAGCCATGGCAAGCAAATCGCCTGCAGGGCCTCAGCCATCAGTTTCACGCTATGAAGAGCTCAGCCAAGAGATTAGTGCCTTAACCAAACAAGTTTCTAAGCTTACCTCATATGTACACAGGCAGGAGCGTTCCCGTTCACGATCGAGGTCTCGAAGGAGCGACAGCCGCTACCGCAGCGCGTCGCGTAATCGCCAGCCACCACCGGACCACCCACACTGTTGGTATCATTATAATTTTGGCCCTAAGGCTAAGAAATGTAAAGAGCACTGCCAGTATAATGCGGGAAACGCCACAGGCAGCCGGAAGTAGCGGCCAACGACTGCCTCACTTCATCAGGCCGTTTATTTGTAATAGACCGTGCTTCGAAAATGCAGTTTTTAATAGACACTGGCTCAGACTTGTGTGTTTTCCCACGGCTTGCAATTAAGACGCCCTGTATTAAAACAAAATATAGCTTAACAGCTGCCAATGGTAGTAGAATAGATACTTACGGGCCCATAACTCTCCATTTGGACTTTGGACTAAGGCGTGACTTCAGTTGGCAGTTCACAATAGCAGACGTGTCTAAACCAATAGTGGGGATAGACTTCCTTAGTTTTTATAATCTTCTTGTGGATTGCAGAAACCAGAGATTGATCGATGGGAAAACATCACTATTCATCGACGTACCACGCCAGAAGATTTCAGAAGAGGTAGTTTCTATTAAGACAGTCTCGGGTGAGTCGGTATACCATGATATCCTTCGCGAGTTCCCAGATATTACACGTCCAGCAGGAATACTGAAATCGGTTCAGCATAACACAGTCCATCACATAAAGACTACTCCAGGCCCTCCTGTTGCCTGTCGACCGCGCCGACTAGATCCCGCGCGACAGAAAGCTGCGAAAAAAGAGTTTGACCAGATGTTGTTAAATGGAACAGCTAGGCGTTCAGATAGCCCATGGTCCTCGCCGCTACACCTGGTGAAGAAGAAAGACGATGGGTGGAGACCATGTGGTGATTATAGAGCGCTTAACGCCAGAACCATCCCAGACCGATATCCCGTACGGCACATCCAGGATTTCGCACATCAATTGTCAGGTTGTACCATATTCTCCACGATAGATTTAATAAAAGCTTATAATCAACTTCCAGTACATCCTGATGACGTGGAGAAGACAGCAATCACCACTCCGTTCGGGCTGTATGAATTTCGAGTCATGACGTTTGGACTACGCAACGCAGCACAGACTTTTCAACGTTTTGTGGACGAAGTCTTGCATGGGCTGGAGGATTTTGCATACGGGTACTGTGATGACATCATCCTATTTTCATCCTCGAAGGAAAACCACAAGGACCATCTCCGCCAAGTTTTTACCCGTTTAGAGAGGTATGGCCTTCTTATTAACTCTGACAAATGTGTGTTAGGGAAGTCTGAGGTTGTATTTCTAGGCTATAAAGTATCTGCAGCTGGCACCAGGCCCTTGGAGTCAAAAGTCCAGGCCATTGTAGATTATCCAAGGCCCAGGACGGTGAAAGAACTGAGAAGGTTCTTGGGTATGCTTAATTTTTACCGCCGATTTATACCGAATGCAGCGGACATACAAGCCCCGTTAAACGCACTTCTGGTTGGTGCTAATGTAAAAGGTTCACATCCAATACAGGTGACACAAGAAATTACGCATGCTTTCGAGGAGTGTAAGAAATCACTAGCAAGTTCTACACTATTAGCACACCCTCGTCCTGACACGGAGCTGAGTATCGTTACGGATGCCTCCAATGTAGCTATGGGCGCTGTATTGCAGCAGCGAGTTGGTAACATATGGGAACCACTAGGATTTTTCTCCAAAAAACTAAGTGCTGCACAAACGAACTATAGCCCATACGACAGGGAGCTGCTAGTAATGTACGAAGCCGTGAAATATTTTAGATTTATGGTCGAGGCTCGTCACTTCTTTATCTTCACTGACCATAAACCCTTAACTCATGCTTTCAAACTGTCAAAGGAAAAAACTTCACCCAGACAATTCAGACATTTAGAATATATATCTCAATTTACCACCGACATAAGATACATACCTGGCAATCAGAACGTTGTCGCAGACACTCTATCAAGAATCGAAGAAATCACACAGGGAATTGACTACAAAGAGCTTGCACGTTCTCAGACTGCTGATCCTGAGCTGCAAGATCTAATATTGAAAGGATCCTCACTTAAATTAGAGAAGGTCAGAATGCCAAATACGAAGATTGATGTGTACTGTGATACTTCAACGCAGCCTCCTCGACCTTACATTACACCCGAATTTCGACGACAAGTTTTTAACACGCTACACAACCTGAGTCATCCGGGCCACACCGCTACGGTGCGATTGGTCTCACAAAGATTTGTTTGGCCAGGGATACGCCAAAACTGTAGAGCGTGGTCTCGAGAATGCCTTAAGTGTCAAGGCTGTAAAATCACCCGTCATACTTCTGCTCCTCTATCCTCATTCCCTACAACTTCATCGAGGTTTTCCCACATCCACCTCGATTTAATCGGCCCAATGCCAAGTTCTTCTGATTACAGGTACTGCCTTACAGTTGTGGACAGGTACACACGATGGCCCGAAGCTTACCCTATCAGAGACATCACTGCGGAGACGTGTACAGCAGCCCTAGTATCCGGCTGGATGGCGCGGTTTGGTTGTCCACTCAAGATAACCTCCGACCGGGGTCGTCAGTTCGAGTCCCAACTATTTCGGTCTATCGCAGCTGTGGTTGGCGCGAAACATTATCGTACGACCGCCTATCACCCAGCCGCAAACGGAATGGTTGAACGCTTGCACAGACAATTGAAGACTGCCATTATGTGCCACGCTACGCCACAATGGACAGAGGTTCTTCCTTTAGTACTGCTGGGTATACGCAGTGCATGGAAGCCAGACCTCCAGGCGTCCCCAGCAGAGCTAGTGTACGGTGAGCCACTGCGTTTACCAGGCCAGTTTATAGCTCCAAACGACGACCACAAGGCAGAAGACTTCACGAATTTTTCAACACGTTTACGCAGTCACATGGCACAACTCACACCGAAACCTGCGTCTTGGCACAGGAAAGGTCCCTTCTACATTCCTCACAACCTTCGTGATTCGTCACACGTATTTCTACGTCAGGATTTTGTCCGAAGGCCATTGGAACCACCGTACGCTGGACCTTATAGGGTGGTAGAACGAAATGCTAAATACTACAAGATCGACGTGCATGGCAAGGACGTCACTGTTAGTATAGATCGCCTGAAACCTGCATATATCACCCAAGAAACAACGCTATCAACATCAACACCAGATGTCTCTGGTCACAAGGAGAAGACGACTAGGAGCGGAAGACGTGTCCACTTCCCGGACTATTACCGCCCGCAGTAGCGGTCTCAGCGGGGGAGTACTGTAGCGGGAAGATCGAACGACCCTTGTTTGCCACCGCAGTAGTCAACGCGCCCCGCGCGCCCGCTGTGACGCACGATGCGCAGGCGCAGGCCAGCCGTCCTCGGATCGCTAACGCTCGGTCGAGAGCGACAGTAAGAAACTGACATTGACGCGGAACGTACGCTTGTTATTTCCGAATTAAACGCTCTCAACTTTACGAACGTGTATCATTCTGTCTGCGCCCTAAAGTTACCACAGCCTCAATCTTGCTGGGTGCGGGTTTCACAGTTCCACCTTCAACAACATGCCCCAAATACTCCACCTTCTTTTGTAACAGCTGACATTTTTTCCAATTTATTTCTAACCCGTACTCGGATGCCACCTTTAGAACCATCTTCAGTCCTTCCAATTCATCTTTACTCAGAATCACAATATCGTCTATAAAAATTAAAACTACACCTTCTGCTATTAATTCTCTGAAAATCATACTGATGAACCTACTAAAATACTTTGGACATGTAGACAAACCAAAAGGTGCACGGAGGAACTCATACTGTCCTTCCGGACTGCTAGTTACAAAGGCAGTGTATTTCACCGACTCTTCATCAACGCTTAAATGAAAAAAAACATTTCTCAAATCTAATGTACTAAAAACTCTGTATTTACTCAACTTGTCAATATGATCCTCTATCACTGGTAATGGAAACTCATCCTTAACCATTTTCTGATTAATTTTTCTAGTCCACACAAACTTTGAAGCTACCATCTTTCTTTCTTACTAAAACCAAAGGACTGGCATACTCTGAAAAGCTAGGCCTTATTATTCCCTTCTGTAACCATTCTTCAATTTGATTCTTTACTACTTCTTCCTCCTTAATTGCTAATCTCCTAGGACGTTGAACAACAGGGACATCATCTTTCATAATAATTTTTAATTTAAGTGGCGCCTCCTTCACTTTTAATGGCTTATAACTGTTGATAAGTTCTTGAACTGCAGGGATCTCAGACATGGGTTCTTCACATGCTGTAGGTAAACTTAACAAGCACAGATTGTAATCATCTTGCGGCATGAGTCTGACTGCACCCTTGTCCAATAAAACAATTGTGTTTTCTAAAAACGACTGACCTAATATGACTTGATAGGGTATAACACCAGATGGAACAATATAGAAACAAGTCTTAAAACTATTGTTATCAATATACAAGTTAGTAGTAAATTTACCTAGGGTACATACCTTCGCTGATCCTAACCCTGATAACACAACAATATCTTTCACGAATGATACATAACTTAAGTTGAAAAATAAATCAGCTGTGACCAAATTATAGTCACAACCCGTATCCATCAAGCTATCGATCGTAACATCACATATTTTAATAGTTTTCACAGCTTTATTGCTAAAGTTTAATTTGTTTACATTTAAAACGTCAAAGTTACTTTGACAGTTGCGACATCTGTCCACGTCACGCGTAAACCGTCCGTCATTCATTCGTTCTTGCGAAAAATGTTCGTCATCAATGCCGCCAACTGTCTGCGATGAATTTGATGCAACACGAACGCCCTCTTCCGCCGACACACACATTGAATGTCCGATACTCTTTGATTTGGTAATGTTGGTACCAATATGGACGCCACAATCCTTACTAAGATGACCGAAACTGTTACAACGAAAACACTTTACCCCCTTTTCACACTGATTTGCTAAATGGCCCTTTTCACCACACTTATAACATGCACGACTAAACACAGACGACGATTTCTCGTTGGATTTCTTATATGAATTTTGTTGACTCGCTCTGCCGCGTGTAACACCGCCGCCGGCGCCGCTCGTACCGCCATGTTTAATATCATTACACCTTTTCATTTTTGACTTCATCATTTCGTACACTGCAAGTTTTTCCTTCAATACACTAAACGAAGTTTTGCCGTATAATATCGCCTTGTTGTTTTCGTAATCAGGAATGCCATCCACTATATATTGAACGGTAACATAATCAGGCAACTTAGCCCTTTTACCTAACTCCCCATCAACAACATGTACTGATACACAGTTTCATCCTTTTTCTTCCTTCTTCCCGCCATAAGTTCATGCATCTCCTTGGTATTGAGTGCGTCTGGAAACACTTTCGTTAATGCCGTTCTCAACTCTTCGAAAGTTCTGAATGTCTTTTCAGACCTCAACCACAACTCTGCTGTGCCCACTAACGATCTTCTCGCTATTATTAGTTTTTGTTGAGCGGTCCATCCGAATATTTCAGCGTTGTCTTCGATATCATTTGCCCACTTTGACGAAGAATATGTTTTGTCCTCGCCGCTAAATTTGCATACGCCGTACGCGTCCATGGCGGACGTTCCCGCCAACGTGCTCGTCGCACCGAAGCCGGGAGCTATTCCCGCCTCATCTTTGTCGCCAGCCATCTTTTAGCGTATTTCTTCGTTGGATGAGATTGATAATTAATTGCGTCTTGTCCGTTCTTGACAATGCAAACTAGCCAAGCCACCTTGCTCGTAGCCGCACTGCGCCTTCGTAACCTTTTTAAATTGACTCGATCCCGGACGAGCCCCCAATTGTAGGAGCTGGGTAATAGGCCAAACAACTTCTTCTTGTAAATATCAGCTTTATTTTTTAACGTCTTCTACAGTTATGCACAATAATTAATTTTAGAGCACTCCACCACATCGTTTTTGCTCAGACCCGCCATCTTACCTCCTTTTTTACTTCCTTCTTCTCACTCACTCCCATATCACTCTTACATTCTAATCATCTTACGCTCCGTTTCACTACTCTTATCTTATTAATTTATTATTTTAAAACATAAATTATTTATAATATAAAAATGCCTACATGGTATATTTGTATGTCTATAATAGGTCTTTACCTATGAAATTGCAGTTTTGTATGCAATAAGTGAAAGTACTTATTTTTTCAAACTTTTTTATTTCTGTTATTCGAAGTAATCACCCATGCAATCGACGCACCTTTGCCAACGCATTGGCAGTTTATTGATGCCCTTCTTGTAAAAATCAGCTGGACGGGAGGCAACAAACTCTTCAGAGGGATTTTGTACTGCCTCTCGGGAATTGAATTTTTTACCCACTAAAAAGTTGTCAAAATTTTGGAAAAAGTAATAGTCGGTAGGTGCAAGGTCTGGTGAGTATGGCGGATGAGGGAGAGCTTCCCACCCCAGCTCCTGCAGCTTGGAGACTGTCTGTTGCGCAGTATGGGGTCGCGCGTTGTCGTGAAGGAGCAGTGGGGACTACCGATTGACCAAAGCTGGTTGCAATATATGAATATGAATGTATGTATTCTTGTATGTATACGTTGTTATTTTTATATTATTTCATTGCTTTTTCTCATTGTTTTTTCTCTTCTCCTTCTGTGCGAGACAGTACTGCTAACATTACTTCTTTTATGTCCACTTCATAATTCTCAACCAAAGGGTAGTGCACCTCCATACTCATTTCCACACCACCCTAAGGTAGACTGGTAGAGATTGCCTATGGCATTAAGTCCGCCATTGTACTTATGTGCATAAATTTATTAAATAAATATAATAACAGCTTTAAAAAACAAGTTTAATGCAAAGAAACTGGGAGAAAAAGGTTTTTAGGAATGGAAATAGAAAGAAATGAAGATAATATTATTATAAAATAGAGCAACATGATAGAAAAGATATTGAATAGATATAATATGACTGAGTGTAAAGGAACGAAAACACCAATGGAAATAAATTAAGTATAATATACGAATTAATGAAAATGAAGAAATACTTAATGTGCCTTTCCGTGAACTGATTGGAAGTTTACTTTACTTAACTATGACATCAAGACCAGATTTGACATTTGCTGTATCTTACCTTAGTAGATGCCTGGATAAACCAAATGAACAACTGTGAAAAGCAAGTAAGAGGGTGATTCGATACCTAAAGGAAACAAAAGACAAAGGGCTTATATTTAAAAGGACTATTGATCAAACTTTGTATGGATATTCTGATGCGGATTGGGCAGGTGACAGAAATGATAGAAAAAGTGTAAGTGGTGGCATAATTTTGCATAGAAAAAATCCCATAGCATGGTTCTCAAAGAAGCGATCCTGCATTGCATTGTCAACCGCTGAATCAGAGTACATTACAGCTCAAGAAATAATAAATCTGAAGGAACTTAGTGAACATTTAAATTATAAGATAGATGTTGTGTTATTTGTAGATAATATGGGAGCCATATCAATGTCGAAAAGTTACGAAAATTCAAAAGGAACTAAACATATAGACATTAGAACACATTTTCTTAAAGATATTGTTGAAAGGAACATTATAAGAATTGAATATACAGTGGACCCCCGGTAATCCGGCCCTGTCTAATCCGGCACCCCCTGTGTAATCCGACATGGTTTATTATTTATTACGTATTGAATAATTTTTTGATAATATTCGCTAATGCATGATTGAACAAGTTACAACTTGTACGCACCATCACTATTGTGCTCGACGCGTAGGGTTTGTTTTGATTCTGATTGCTTAGTTTGAAATTGATTACATGCGATGAGGATAGCGGTGCGGCCTAGCGTGTGTTCATTGTTTACTGTTTATTCATTGTGTATTACGTATAGGGTAGACCGAGGCGAATCGGATCACAGGGCGAATCGGATCAAAATAAGAAATCTGTGGATAATTCAAATATCGCATTCACATAGAACGCACTCAACCGGCGTTTTGCGTCTCTCCTCTCACCCCGCACCACAGGGCAGTATTTCGATCGCGCTTGTGAATCAGTGGCGACGCCGCTCGTTAGCGACTCGGTCGTTTGTGTGTGTCGCAATTTTGGCGCTCATCTAAGGTACGTACTTACAATTTCTTTGTCATATTACAGATTTGTGTTAAAACTCAACTACATTGGTTTATATTGTTAAGCAAGGTAGACACCTTGCTATTGCTATGCTATATATTAGAGAACCAATTCGCTTTTAAGTATGATCTTAGAGGTTAACGCCTAAAATATTTATTTCAAGTCTTGATTATGGGGCTAATCGGATCATATCGTCAGGGGCGAATTGGATCACACTTTTAAACTGATTTATTACATGTTTGAGGTTATTGATTCATATTTATTTCATTGTAGATGGTTCGCACGTACAAAAGAAAGACTGATGCCGGAGAATGTCTCAAGAAAAAATGAAAGAGGCTGTAAATAAAGTTCAGAACAAAGAGTTGACCTTACGTAAGGCTGCTGAGATTTTTGCAGTACCGTTCACGAGCTTACAGAGAAGAGTTACTTCGTCCAGGGGTATTATTAAGCGTCGAGGTGGACAGCCAGCTTTAGATGAGAACGCAGAAAAGAAGTTAGCTGACCGGCTGTTGCACTTGGCAAGTCGTGGCTTCGGAATTACACCCAAAGCGGTACGTAAGTACGCGTTTGAATTTGCAGAACGTCAAACAAAACAAGGAACACAAATATGACAGAAATGCTGGAATGGCTGGCCAGGACTACTTTCATCGCTTCATGAACGAGGTGAAAATGTAACCGTTCTAGCCTGTATGAATGCAGCAGGACAGTACATACCTCCATTTGTTCTATTCAAAGGTGTGCGTAAACGTGATGATTTTCTTCTAGGTATGCCACCTGGTACTGAAGTTGCCATGACAGAAAAAGGCTGGGTCACCGAAGAAGCTTTTAAGTTGTGGCTGCAACATTTCAATCGCTACCGGACCCCAGGAAAAGTAGTTCTAATTTTAGATGGGCACGCGTCTCACACCAGCTACTCAGTGGTAGACTTGTGTGACTCTTTCGAAATTGAACTTGTACTTCTTCCTCCACACACATCACATGCCCTGCAACCACTTGATGTATCGTTTTTCAAACCGCTCAAAACCTATTATCACCAAAAAGCTACATCATGGCAACATTCACATCCGAATCAAGGAATCACAAAAGTCGCTTTCGGAGCACTTTACCAACAGGCTTGGAATCAGGCTGCCACTGTTGGGAATGCTACAAAAGGCTTCGAAAAGACTGGAATATTTCCACTAAACGCCAATGCAATACCTGACCACAAGTTCATCGGTGATCAAGAATCGGATATTGTAGAGTCCCAAGTCCAGTCCTCAAGTTCCCAACAAATGCAGCTACAAGTGCAAGCCACAAATACACAACCAGTAGCTGATACAGGGTCATCTGCAAGTTCACGACAGTCTGACAAAGCCCATTCTTCCACCTGTGCAGATGAAGAAAGAAAGAAGATGAAGAATAAAGCAACGCCTGGGATTAAAATTAAGAGTTCATCAGCAAAACAGAGAGAGTGTCGAGTGCCCCAAGTCCAATCCTCAAGTGAAGAACAAGTGCAGTCAAAAATAAAGGTCAAAGTTCAAGCTACAAATACAAAACCACTCGATAATATAGTGCTATCCACAAGTTCGCAACATTCTGACAAAGCCCAGCCTTCCACCTGTGCAGAAATAATTAAAGAAATTCTTCCATCACCTTTAAAGTCACCAATTGCGTCTAAAAGAATTCGTAAAGTTTCAAAACTGGTCTTGCATTTAACATCACCTCAGAGTAAGACTACTCTTCTCGAAAAAGAAACAAAGAAGAAATTTAAGGTAGACAATAAAACCAAGGAAAACAAGAAAAAGGCTGTGGGCAAAGAAAAAACTATGAAAAAGATGAAAAATAAAGCAAAGCCTGCGATAAATATTAAAAGTTCATCTGCAAAACAGAGAGTGGCACTGCATTTACTGTTCCGAAATATTCGTTCATCCACCATCAGAGGATTGGATTCAGTGCAATGCCTGCGAAGAATGGTGCCACGAAAAATGTGCTAATATGGGGGGGAAAAAAGGACCATATATATGTGAATTATGTGCCAATAATTAAAATTGATCTCATTATTAATTTTTTACTGATTCCAAAGCTATAGTGTTAAGAAACTTAAAATTTTGTTATATGTTGTGTACGATCCGATTCACCCCAAAAATTGGGGCGATTCGGATATTTTTCTTTTTTCAGTTTTTAAGAGCTAATGAAGCGAATATATGTATGATTTAAGTTTTCCAATGTTTATTTCATAGCTGATTGTTACTTCTTTCGTTTTCAACAATAAAAATAACATTATATAACACTTTAGTATGATTTACTTAACCTCAAAGAAAAAGTGATCCGATTCGCCTCGGTCTACCCTACGTACCTAGTAATGTCGTCACAAGCTCAGAAGCGAAAGCACAATCCTGTAAGGAAATTTTGAAATTTACTGTACCTAGAGGAACTTTTCATGAGTATGTAACCAACTATGAAGGATAGACATAACAACTGTAAGTTGGAAAGATAACAAGCAAGTCGTCTTAGCTTCCACCTATGTGGGTGCTCAGCCAGTGCAAAGTATAGAGAGGTATAGAAGGAAAAAAGGAGGGTAAATATTGATTGTCCAAAATTGGTAAAGGAATATAACGCCCACATAGGTGGAGTTGATTAAATGGACTCGCATTTAGGCTGATACAAAGTAAAAACTAAAAGTCGAAAATGGTACATACGTATTTTTTACCATTTGTTAGACCTTGCTATTATCAATTCTTGGGTGCTTAATAAAAAAGCACTACAACAAGGAAATGTCCCTGCTAGAAAGAAACATTTATAGTCTTGCTGAGTTTCGGGCTGAGCTAGCTGATGTTTTATGCAAATACATCTAGGGGCCGGCCGAGTACCAGCAACTTACAAGATGGACCGCAGCCAAAAAATAGAAAAGGTAAACCATGCCAAGTTTTACCGGCTACTGAAGTCAGGCTAGATCGAAGTGATCATAACATTATAAGACGTGACGTGACGTGATTATAAGACGATCTGATGGACGTGGTAGGTGTATGCTACCGTCTTGTCAATTGCTGAGCACTGTAAAATGTAGCAAATGTAATGTGTTTCAGCAAAAAAAAAAACAAAAGACTGTGTTACAGCATTTCACAGCTGCCACAATATTTAGTATGATGACGTATTTCTTCACGCTATCAAAAACTATACAATAGTTAAATAAATAAATAAAAAATTAAATAAAAAAAAATACTTTTAGATTTTTTATTTTATCTTTCCCGGTATTTAGACACAATTTTCTTCAATATATTTTTTTTTCAACACCTGAAGTTGTATCATGTATTAAAGGGTTAAAGGTATATCTGTATATCACTAAAATGGAACATATTAGACAAAGTAAACTTCGCAGTGTCTGATAATGCAAACAATATTTGTAATACAATTACAAACCAATTAAGATGGAAGCATTATGGCTGTTTTGAAACTCCTTTAATTTAATCGTAAAAGAAGTCCTCATACCAATACAGGTTAGGATCGAAAGTAAAAAAAAATGTCACACATTTTAAGCGTAGCACCCAAGCCAACGAGAAATTCATGAAGTACCAAAGAAACCACTTGGGAAACGAGCAGCCAAAAAAACTGGCCATGGAAGTAGTCAGAAGGTGAAAGTCGACATACCTCATGATAAAAAGATTTATGGAGCTCAGACAGCCGTCAAAGCTACTACAGCAGTGATAAATAAAGAGCGGCCAAACTTGACGGAAGAAGAGTGGACTAACCTTAAGTTGTTGGTAAGTGTTTTGGCACCATTTGAAGAAATTACTTCTAGTTTCAGTGGTCAGAACTATGTGACTGGGGGGTTAGCAATAGTTTCATGTAATAGCCTTCGCGATATTTGCCAAGAGATGCTACAAAACAGACACTACATAGACGCTGAGATAGTACAAAATGTTTTAATAAAATTGAAAAGTGGCCTTGACTCACGGTTCCAAAATATCGAACCGAGCAAGACTCTGGCTTTGTGCACGTTGTTGGACCCTCGTTTTAACACCGTACCAACAAAACATCCATAAAAGAATATTGTCACGAGATAATGGAAGGCATTTTGTCAAGTCAGGTCCCAACTACAATACAAGTAGCTCCTAGCGCAACTGATTCTGCATCAAACGTGTGGGATAAAGTAGACATTCAGTTAAGCAAGACTAGCTAATTTCCAAATCGGAAGAGACCTGTCCCCGCCAGCAATCATTGCTGCCATACTGGCGGGTGAGGGATGGGGCGCATTGGTCTCTTTCTGTGAAGCTGTAATGCTCCGGAAAGAAGTTAAAAGCATTCTCAAAAGATCTGTATTTGTGGCAATACGTGACCGCTTCCTGGTGTGCCGTTCACGGAATCTACGACAGTCTTTATTTCTTGTCTCCTGGACTTCTTCGGAGAGTTGTCCAATGGGACGAAGAAAAGACTTTATAACTTCCGCGCTGTGAACAAGAATATATAATATTAAGAATATTATTACGTACTTATTATTACGTTACTTATTATTAAGATTAGACGTAAGTCTAATCCTGTAATCAGCCTTGGAAAAGAATCTACGTGCTGTGTTTCCATCGTTTGTGTTACCATACCCAGGTTCTGGTTTATCTACAATGAGACATATACGATCTTTAAACAATTTTTGTATCTCTTGTGAGCGTTGCTTTACAATAGCTTTGTCGTTATCTCCACTTTTTTATTTCTAAACGATAGCTGATGTGAAGCAAACATTCAAACGTGCGGATCCATGCATGTAAAGTAGATAAACCAAATGCAAGATGTTCTTCGTTGCTGGGATATTTCTTTGACTCTGATAGTAGACGGGGTGGCACCGCAAATATAACACTTTTGGGTTGAACTTGTGTCTGTTAGGGCATTGCACACTTTGCCATCAGTCATTGTTAACAACAAGTCGTGTTTAACAGAGATTTGAGATCCAGCAACGTTACATTATGTTAAAAGTAGCTGACTTACTTCATCTAAAAATTTAGAAGTTTCTTCTTTCGTAAACTCTTTTGACTCCTTGGCAAAAATAAACTTAATAGGACGGCAATATAAAGTAGAGGAAGGTCTTTAATTTGCCAGATCACAGTTTCGCCATCAAGCAGTCTCAAAGGGACAAATGAGTATACGAACTAAAATTCGTCTGTAACGTTATTGTTCTCAAATTTCTGTTTATACGTGCTATGCCCCGAACTCCCATCACAGCCCCATTTGCTTATCAACGTATAATAAGAACGAGGTAACACACTTCTAATGACTTCCGTCTGAACTTTAACTAATCGTTCAGCCGTTTTATCCAAAATCGCCTGGAATTTAATTTCAGCTCGAGATTCAGTCACAGAAAGATATTCGTCAGAAGGACAACAAGAAGCTTTGGACTTACGTAAACTATAAAACGATGGATACACTTGATGTCCCGCTTTCATTTTCTTGTTTGTCACTTTCTTGTTTGTTTATATGAGTGAGAAGTCGATTTCGAGTCCACATAATGCTTCTGTAATAAGTTCACTTGCACTTCGCGATTCCAATAGATCTTCAACTCTCCGTCTCTTCGTTTTCGTTGATGAGTCTTCAAAAGATTTTCTGGGTCGCCCTACGGAAAGAGCCGCTGATGATGTTGAAGTGCACGGCTGGTTAACGCATATTTTATTTATTTGGATTCCGGATCCCTCTAACCAATCTTTATGTTTGATTAGAAACATTTCTTTGTTACACTTTAAAGAAGTCCACTTTTGATTGAATTTTGCTGAAAGGCTTGATATTTTCTTTTTGAGTCGTTTTAGAAAATCCTCAGAAACATCAGACATATTGAAGTTTTCACTTATATAATAAAAAATACCACTGTTTTGTTCAGTGTTGTCATGTTTTAGCCATTCTTCAAAAAACTCAATTTTCGTCATAGTCATAAATCGTTCTGAAAAAAATAAAATAATTTTACTTTCGGGCTTTTTCGGGGTCTATATTATATATAAATCTTTGCCTGAATGTTGTAGGTATTACATATAGATGTATGTGGATAAAAAAAGTTGCCACTCTTTAAAGTTTACGATTAATGTAAAATTTGCTGAATTTATCAATACATTTACAAATTGATATTACACCAAAAGTATACATATTTTTTAGAAAAAATAAAATTCATAATAGAGTACATACCTTCAACAGAATATTCCATCACAAAAAAATAGTTTCACTTTGCTACCAATTTTAAAATATGCTATCACAAGTGTGCATAAAATGCTACTGATTTGCAAATGAAAATTACTTCTCTTATAAGGGTTACTTTGAACCCCTGATAAGATACCTTTATAAACAAATTAATTCTTGGAATTCGTTACCTGGGGGGGTTGTTTACAAGTCGTTATCAGTGGTTCCTGGAAATCACGGAAATCACATCAATATTGTCCCGCTAGCATGTTCTAGCCGAATCACTGTGCGTCGGGGTGGTTTTAGTGGAATCACCACATACTTCTGGATCCTGAGTAGTAGCAGGAGATCCGAAGGGATTTTGAACCCGTCAAAAAAAAAAAACTTCTGTGCCCTGAGCTTTCAAGTACCAAATTATAAAAATTGGCTTTTCTTAATATCAACTCTATTATTATTATTATTAAAAGTAAAGACTAATATTAATTACCTTATGTTTATTCTATAACCTCCTTAACAACGTCCATACTTTTTTTTAAATATACCAGTAGAAGTCATAATGTTGAATATCGTATCTAAAATTCTAAAATCTAAAATTCTAAATAATTTAACAAAGTATAAAGGTGTTGTGTTCTTCTATTTTGTTACCCTGTTGTCTAACTTCCGAAATTCCCATGATGTTGTAGTTTATTTTACTTAAACATTCTTCCAGTTCTAATAGTCGGTCGTATGATGACAGGGGTCTGACATTGCATGTTATAATGTTTAAGGTTGAGTTTGAATTTGGGGTTTGTAACTTTGGAGGGTTTTGGTCCTAACCTTCCACGGTGACCAGCCGGGTTTGTTTATTTGTGGTATCTGTGTGAAGAAGAGAGGGGGTTAGTTGCTATGCATTTTTATTCGTTGTATTAGTATTTGTCAAGAAGTTCAACATGCTTGGTTTTATAACTCCTTCGGTGACACTGTTTGACCTTGTCACCTTGATTTTCGAGCCCGACTATTGTTGTTTATTCTGTTTTGTTTTATTTTCTTGTATATGAATGTTTTCAGGAGATATTGAGAGATTTCTCTTGTTTGCTGTGTTCTTGTTTTTATCTAGTATAATAAGTTTATAGTATTTTATTGTGGCAGTGTTTACCTTTTCTCTTTCAGTCTTTATTTTCTCTTATAATTCTTTTCTTTTATTTAGTATGTCCCGCGGATATTCTTCCTTTATGTAGTATGTTGTGTCTTTCAGTGCAATTTTTTGTTTTAACATATCGATTTTTAATCCTAGGTTAGAAAAAGTGACAACGATTGGTCTAGGTCTTTCTCCTTTTTTTCCAATGCTCTTCGTTCAGTGTTTAAATCAAAATATTTTTTAATAAATTCAACCAAAATATTTTCCAAGTTTGAGTATGATATCTCTTTCTCTTCTTTTCCGAAGAATACAATGTTGCTTTGTTTTTCCAAGAAATAAAGACGTTTCTTTTAATTTTCTACTTTTATTTGGAGGTTGTTATATTTTTCTTCTAATGTTCTAAATTTTTCTTCCAAAATGTTATTTATATTTTGTGTTACCAGTTCTGTCACTTGTTCTCCACTTTTTTGTATGGTGACTGTTTGTTTATCCAACTCTTTTTGAATGTGACGAAGTGCATTCATAATGACCTCCATGGTTATACAAATGCAGACTGGGCTGGTGATAAGTTAGAAAGAAAATTAACCTCAGGTTACATCACGAAGCTCTATGGATGCCCCGTATCATGGTGTAGCTCTAAGTAACAGTGTGTAGCCTTATCATCTACCGAGTTAGAGTATATTGCTCTAGCAAAGGAGATAGCAGAAGGTTGTTGGTTTAAAAATATGTTAAAAGAAATAGGTTTAGGTTATAATGTTAAATTTATTGTTTACATTGATAACCAGTGAGGCTATTCATGTTGCAAAGAATCCTGAAAAACATCAAAGATTAAAACTCATAGATCTAAAGTATCATTTTGTAAGAAACAAAGTAGAAAATAATATTGTAGTGTTGCAATACATATCAAGTAAAAGGCAAATAGCAGATGTTACTAAGCCTTTAGGAAAAGAAACTTTTGATAAGTTGTGTAGTACGAGTATGATCAACTAATAGATAATGTGGATGTTGGGTATGTATGCTTACTTTAAGGAACATTAGTTAGTTTAGTCGTTTGATAAGAGATATAGAGTTCTTATAGAAGTTGTTAGAAATAGATAGAAAGATTTGTACTGTTTTTATTGAGGAAGGTTATTGTAAATTGATTATAATAGTGCCTCTATTTATTAATTAAAACAGAACAAATTATATAAGTGTAATGCTATGTAACAGCGGAATTTGTAATAAACGTATTGATACCCGTAGAAAGACAGCAACAAATGTATAAAATAGTTCCAACCGTAGAGCGCTGCAATAGAAAATTCGGTGAAATGTAAATTCCTCGCAAAACCCTTAGCATAATACGAGTAGATGAGTCTCTTTTGTTATGGAAAGGGCATCTATCTTGGATACAGTGTAGGTATGCAGACAAAAGCAGCAAGATTCGGCATTAATTCTTATGAGCTATGTGAAGCAGAACCGGCTACCTCTTTTTTTAATATATGCTGGTAAAAATCAAGATGCAGGAAAAGCTGTGTGTGTCAGAGGATTACTTTGATAAAGGTCATTGTATATACAGACAACTTTTACAACTCTGTAGGCTTAGCATCCGTGTGGTGACGGATTAAGAATACGGAATGTCACCACCCCTATTCCTCCGGTGGGTGTTGTAAGAGCCGACTAAGGGAGCAAACTACGCAGGACAACAGCACTGCAAAGAGAAAGAAAACTTGAAACAAACCCTTTTTTTTTTTTAACGTGTGGAAACAGGGCCTGTGATGTAGAGACGTCACGAGCAACAATTGCTCCTCGTTTGACGAGAAGTCATCCACTCCACTTCCACTTTTCTCCTTCCTTCCTTTCTTTCCACTTTCTTTTGTATTTTTATTTGTTCTTGATTCCATAATTGATCCCACGAGTGGGGGAGAAATAAAGGTCGACCCGGGCAGATAACCGAGGGGTCCGCAGGTGCCCCGGCTGAGAGGGCGCTTGCGACTGAACTACCCATCAGCCATGCATCCCCTGACCACGCACTAGAACACGGGACTCGGAGTAATTTTTTAGAGAGGTTTTCTTCCTCGCAGTCCGGCCGGCTAAGCCAAGACCCTCGCCCCCGATGAGAGTCGCGAGACATAACCACGACACTCCTACCGGGATTACGATGTACAAACGGCGGCAAGGAGACGCAGTCCCCATTGCCCGCTCGGTAGCAGAGTAAGTGCTCACCGAACCCGTCGTCGTTCCTCCACTTTGAACAGTGGAGCAACTATCGGTGACCCAAGAAGGGCCCCACCGAGTATCCTTTTTAGTCTGGAGTCTCCCTCTGAGCCAATCCGGCATGAGTGACTCTACCGGCATTTCCAAAATTTAGACAACTTTTTAGTGGGTAAAAAATTCAATTCCCGAGAGGCAGTACAAAATGCCTTTGAAGAGTTTGTTGCCTCCCGTCCAGCTGATTTTTACAAGAAGGGCATCAATAAACTGCCAATGCGTTGGCAATGATCCGTCGATTGCATGGGTGATTACTTCGAATAACAGAAATAAAAAAGTTTGAAAAAATAAGTACTTTCACTTATTGCATACAAAACGGCAATTTCATAGTCAATGTCGATCTTACTGTTCACTTCCATTTCTAAGATGCACTCACCATCAACCATCTCCTTCTCACCATTGTAGCATGTTAGTACTTCGCTAGAATAATAACTTTTGACTCACAATCCCACTTACTTATGTATTTCCAACCAATTACATTACATGTCGCACCCGTATCTATTTGAGCTTTAAGAATCATACCGTTAACCTTTACATCTGCTAACAATTTTTGTGCTTTCCTTGAAGAAGCAATACTAAGCACACCGTCAGTTTCACTGGAACTGTCAGGCTCTTTTCCTAATTGCTTTACATACATTTTACACATATTTTTAAAATGATTGAATTTTGAACATTTTAAACACACCATACGCTGGACACTTTTCTTTTTCAAATGGGTCTTTTCCCCCAGTATCTACAAATTCCTATGTTGCCTCCACTTCTGGTTTTAGTCATTTTTGTCGATTTAAATTTTTCAAATTTATTACTAATCTCATCTTCGAATTTAAAATCCGATTTAGAATCTGGTTTCATTTTAATTGCTTAAAATGAAACCAGATTCTAAATCGGATTTTGTTTTGTTTCTCTGTTTCTTGAACCGTCATCGCTTCATCAATTACTTTTTGAAGAGTCAAATCTCTCTGTCTTGAAAGTCGTTTTCTAAATCGACTCTCGAATGATCTCTTATCATTTCATCTTTTAAATCTTTGAACTCGCAAGATCTTTCTTTTAATATTCGAATAAAATTAATATAATCCATTTGTTGATCTTGTACAGTAGAGAAAAAAACATACCTGAAAGGTATATGATGTTTTACTGGGGTATAATCTCAGCATCTAATCGTTTTATTATGTCATATACTGAGGTTATTTCATCTGCTCCTATTTGCCGTAACAATCTCACCCCTTCAGCTCCAATGACTGTTTTGAAAACTGCTGCTCTTTTCTTATCTTCCTTCTTGTCAGGATCAGTCGCCAATTCATAATTCTTCCAAGTTGGTTTCCACAAAACCCAGTTTTCCACAATATCTCCTTTGGACACGAACGGAACTGGGGCCGGCAAATTCATTTTTTATCTCGTTACCATCTATTTTTCTTCTGACACCATGTTGGTTTACTCAATAAACACTCAAAAGTTTTGACTGATATTTATTAAGCAATATAATTACAATAGAACTTGGTTTACAACATTCTGAAACACATTGTTATATCTGAGAAAAATGCGAGGGAATAATAATGTTCGTAAACCAAAGAGAACCTCGCTACACAACAAGAGTGGCAGTGTTGCTCACACTGTCCTGCACGCTGCTCACGCTGCACACAGTCCTCTCCCATGGTGCATATGTGTTCTTTAATATCCTCTGTGGTTATTGATGTTTTTAATCGCGATACATATATCGCGCACTGCATTTCCGCCACTAGAAGCTTACTCGAACTAGTCGCGGTACCACGCATATTCCTACTACGGGACGCTTTTTATTTGTCACTAAGGTGAAGCCATCCTCAGTGATATAATCTTTTTTGATTTTATTGTGTTGTGTTCCTGGTTTTATATTCTTGTTGTTTTGTGCAAGATATCACGATAAGTCTGTGGAGCGCGCCTCACTGTCTCTGTCTGGCTATGCGTTTGCTCTTCGCACTCACTCGGCCCACATATTTGCAAATCATTGTGACTAGCAATAACATTAACAATTGACGGTCTTTCTATATTATTTTGTGTGACACTTCTCGCATAGCCATTTTCATCCTTATCGCACTGATTATTGGATTCACTATTGTACTCACATGAGTTGTTCACCATATTCAAGTCAATTACCTGTAAATCTTTATAAGTATTCTTTATATACATTTCTAAGTCCTTTTTTGACACTGCACTACTTCTTAATTGATGTAATTCATTTTTTAACACATTAATATCCTTCAGTAAGCGGGTCACATCGACATAATCAAAAGTTAAAGGCGGCAAACGATTCAAATTTTTCGCCTTCGATTCCTTAAACGCCTTGATGACATCCTTAATATTCTTCCTGATTTTATCATTACCTTTTCGTTGGATATTCCTTAAAGACAGTGCATTAAATAGTTCGGTTTTTCCCTTTCCAATCTCGACTTCCGTAAAATTACTCCCACATATTTGTATTATACTCAGTTCGTCTAACACATCTATTTTATTTTAGATAAAAGTTAAAAACTCGTCGATAATTATCGTTTCTGCCATAATTCTCGTGGTATATTGGTCATCTGATCCTTTTTATAATAACCCAGATATTTCATCACAATCACTTTGAACAGATTCAAGAAAATACTACAAAACTTACATTTAAACGATAATAGAACTGAAGAACCGCGAGATACCGTAAATTTTGATAGGTTACATAAACTGAGACCACTAATTGATCAGTTGAATGCAATATTCTTACAGCAGGCAGAAGAATCTGGCATTTATTCAGTGGACGAGTGTATGGTAAAATTTAAAGGTCGGTCTTCTATGAAACAGTACATGCCTATGAAGCCAATCAAGTGTGGCTATAAGGTATGGGCTCGTTGCGATGCACGTACAGGTTACTTATATTGCTTTGAAATTTATACAGGTAAAACAGACACCTTGGATAAAGCTGGGTTAGGTTTTACCGTAGTAAGTAATCTGTGTAAGAATGTACCTCGTGATTCACTAGTTACATTGCAAACTGGTCGATGTTTTGTATCAGAATGGTATTTTTTCAATCAACTGTAAGAAAGACTAGAAGAGGGTTATGCGAATTTATGAAGGAAAAGCCACACAGCAAAAAAGAAAAACTAGCAAAAAATTAATTTTGTGCAATGACAAGTGAGCCTATAGTCGCTGTAAAATGGTTAGACACAAAAGAAGTGACTGTTCTAACATCGGCGCATAAGCAATCAGAGGTTGCCATTATAAAGAGGACCCAAAAAGATGGTTCAAAGAAAGAAGTTTTCTGTCCAAAAGCGATAGCAGATTACACTTTACACATGGGAGGGGTGGATCACTTCGACCACTTTTGTTCACCATATCCAACGGGAAGAAAGTCGAGGAAATTTTGGATGCGTTTGTTCTTTTTTATGGTTGATGCTGCAGTCATAAATGCCTACATTCTGTTCCTATCAAAACATGCCCAACGAGATTCTGCCCATCGTGAATTTAGGCTGCGACTTGCTAGAGAATTCATTGGCAGTTTTACGTGTAAGAAACAGAGGCCAATTATTTTTAAAAATAAGAAAGGCGGCAACTTTGGCGTCCCTGATGAAATTAGGCTTCAAAGTGAAGGTGGGAAATAAACAGAACATCCAAAAAAATTGTGCATTTCATCAAAATACGAGTATTACATTTTTTTATCTATTAGGCTATTATTTTTACCAGAAAATGCAACTAAACAAACATTTTAGTGATTTACCTAAAAATAGTTCTATTTTTGTTAATCGTCTAGAAGAAAAGAAAAGAAATGCATCAGTTATGTACTCTTCCGTGGACCGTTTCCAGTTGACGTTTATATGTTTATGGACGAATTAAAAATACATTCATCGAAAAATTTGAATTCTTTTTTATTACTTACCTTACCTATTTCTTATTATCATTAATTAACTATATTGTAAAAAATAATCATTTCAAATAGACATATTATTACACATAAACCTAGTGTTACCATTGGATCCGACTCTTTCCGTGGTCTCATTATAATACGTATTCGATGCTGAATAATCGAAACGCATCTTGGCTTTATTTATTTTTGTTGGCAACACTGTTTAGCTGTCAGTTAAAACTTTTATGTCAGTGTGGTGCATGTGTGCAAATAAAACAAAGTTTTATTTTAATGAATGTTTGTCCATAATTTACGTCATAGATCGTTGTGACTTTTCTGTTACTTTGATATTTTGGTAAGTATTGTCTTAAAAAATTGTTGCGTTGTACATCCTAGTGAGATATCGTCGGCCATTATTAAAATGCACGTGAGTTTTTTACTAACCTCATTTTTTTTTATTTTGCACCGCTATTTATAACCTATTTTCTCTTCCGTAGACAATCTTTTCAGTGGACTCTATGTCCACCGAAGGGTAAGCGTCCACGGAATTGAGTCCGAGCCCGAAAATTAAGCTTTGATACTTTTATGATGAACATTTTGAATTCAATTACTTTTACGCAGGTGTTGCTTGGTGCTTTAATAAACATGTATATATTGTATAACTATTTTTTAAACTTATAATAGGTATATGGTGTATAAACTATTTGTATACCGCTAAATTGATAAAGCTAAGGAAATTAAACCCGAGTAGTATTGTTGCTGAGGTTTTATTGTGTGTGCAAGTAGAGAGGTTGTGCTTACTTTGACATAATCATTCGTAGAAGATTCTGCAAATACCCTCGGAATAAAAAGATTTTGTGACAATGTACCATTATGCCATTATCACACGGATGACTTTCTCTTGTTTGCTAGTCAATTTGAGCGACGAATCTAACAATACTTTGCTTGTATTTTAGTCTCTAGCTTTGTGCGTATATGTGGAATGCTGCTTTATTTTCAGGAAAAGATGCCGCCAACATATAAATCTAATCTCCAGTTAAGTGACGAAGACAAAATGGCTCGACGACGTGAACAAAAAAAAATTAGCATGCGTCGAGCACGAAAAAAACTGAACGAAATTGCTAAAGAAGAAATAAGAAGAAAAGACAGGGAAAGGTATTATAAAAAAAAAGAAAAAGGTGAAATTAAAACTATTGACCAATATACTCCAAGACAGCAGCGTCAAACAAGAAAAATGTGGCGGGAAAAATAAAAAAAGGACGTAAATTATAAAAAATGCGAAAAGCTGCAAATGTTATACTGGAAGATAATACTCCGCCAATAAGTCCTTCTTCATCATTTTCACGTTTTAAAGTAGGAAGAATAATTGCTGCTCGCAACAAGAGAGACAGGAAAACAGAAAATAAGGCTTTGAAGATAAAAGTTTTAGAAATGCGAAGAATCATTAAAAGATACAAAATGCGTATAATGCCGGCACTACACATAGGCCAACGCGTTGGCAAGCGCGCTGCCCCAGCCACTTGCCCAATGTGTAGAACGGGCGTTGGCGCATTGTATTTGAACGTTGGCCGGCGCGCTTGCGAGCTTGCCGCGCGGTGTCGGCAACATCAAAGGGCACTTGTCGCAAACTTGCGTCGCACCAACCACAACATTGCACACACAGTTTGCCCGGAGCAGCGATCAAGAGTGCATGTTTTCTTTTTGCGGCGAATTAACACCTAACTTGACGAAATGGCGAACAATATGAGTAATGAGGAAACATTTAAATTTATTGAGCTCTATCAGAGTGAAAACTGCATGTGGAACCCGAAAAATAAGTACCATAAAAATAAAAATGTTGTAAGTATTAAAAGTGCTAAATAAATAAGGTTCTGGGACATGCTTTTTTCCTCACGATGTTTTACTTCACAGTAAGAGCATCCTACTTTATTATTATTTTAATATTTATAAATGTGAAAGTAAGGTTATTTCTTTGTTTGTTACGTTTTCACGTCTTTTACTTTTTTATTTCGAGAATATATTTTTTTATTCATATCAACTCCCTAATTATTTTTTTCAGATCAACGATTCTTGGAAACGTATTGCAGATACAATGGGTGTACCAGGCCATGAAATAAAGAAGAAAAAGAGAGCTTGATGAAAAATTACCATGGAAATTATAAAATGGCAAGGAAATTATAACGAATAGTATAATTTACGATATTTAAACTACTACAGGATACATAAAATGGGCAGAACGAAGAAAAAGCAAACAAGGGAAGAAAAATTAGGAGAAAAAGAGATTGGCAGAACGTATTAGATTGCAAAAAATAAAAAATGATCCCACATTATATGAAGAATTTAAAATTAAAGACAGGGCGAGGTATTATAAAAAGAAAGAACAAAAAAAAGTAGTTCCTATAAGTGAAATGACACCCCGCAGACAACGGACTCAACGAAAAAGAAATAGAGACAATTTTAAAGCATATTATATACACGACAGAAAAATAAAAAAAGATTAGATACGTTACTTTCTGAAAATAGCCCTCCTGAATCAGGCGATGAATTGCCACCACAACCAATAGTTGAGAATTCCACATCAACACGACCAGTAGCTACAAATAGTCGCCCTCCATCGCCTCTTTCTTTATCGCGGTGCAGTCGGTCCTAACAAGAAGCAATAGGGTACAGAATACATACCATGACCAGTTGATTCTTTCTTCTCCATGTCCAAGTGATTCATCGAATGTTTCAGTAGTTTCGAAATCTACTTTTGGAAGACATCAGTACAAGAAAAATTAAAATCATCCAATCTTTACAGAAGACTGTAATCGTAGAGTTACAGAGACAACAAAAACCATTCAGAAAACAAGTACAACGACTGCAAGTAAAGAAAATTGTAACAAACTATAAAGAGACAGAAGGAAGTAAGAATCGCACGATCTTAAAAGTAAACATGCAAGTAAAATTCATACATTAAAATTATCCGTTCAAAGATTTCTTTCAGATGATAAAAACAGCAGGCTTTGTCCAGGAAAAAAGGATTACATTTCTAAAAATATGATTAAGCACCAAAAACGTTATTTATCTGACTCGCTACAAAACTTACACCAAAAATATGTGAAAATATCACAATGCTCATTATGGTACTTTTTGCAAGCTAAGGCCGTATTGGATTTTAGATCCTAGCGTTAATGTTCGTGATACTTGCGTGTGCAAACTGCACGAAAATATGGCTTTACTGATAAAATCATTGAACGCTAATAAGATTATTTTTGAAAGTAATCCTACTGAACTAGTGCAGAACTTAACTTGTGACCGAAACAGGACTAATTGTTTACAGAGAAACTGTGATCATTGTAGACAAGAGTTATAAACTACAAGGAATTCGACAACACCCAAAAAATAACGTACAGTTCATGGGAAACAAGCAATCAGTCTTATACAAAACAAGGTATAGAAAAGCAAGGGTACATCACGGAGAAAATCAAAATAACGAATAGTCCTTTAAATATTATAAAAAAGTTAGAATGTGATCTCAAGCCATTCATGAATCATTGCGCCAATATTGTTAACCAAAGTCTGGCTCTTAGAAATACCAAAGATAATTTAAAAACCTATGAGTGCGTACTACACATAGACTTTAGTGAAAATTATAACACCTAGTTTGGCACGGAAATACAATCAATGCACTTTGGAGGCAACAGGAAATAACTAACACTGCATACGGCAGTCCTTTATTATTATAATCAAACTACTGGATCCAAAGAAACTAAATCAATTTGCACACTGAGTAAGTATTTACGTCACGATGCCGCCGCCGTTTGGGCGCATATAGTACCTTTATTAAAGTATATTGAAGAAAATTGTCCACATATTAATTCAATCCACATTTTTTCGGACTCACCATCTTCACAATACCGCAATAAAAGGATATTCTACATGATATCAAAGCTTTCTTGGTACCTACCGAAGTTGCACAGCGTTACTTGGAACTACAGTGAGACTGGACATGGAAAAGGAGCCCCAGATGGCGTAGGCGGTGTTCTTAAACGAACGGCTGATAAACATGTTGCCTACGGTAATGATATTGCTAACTTAGATAGCTTAGTGTTATTTTTAAGAGAAAAAGTTACTGGTGTATTAATAGAGGTGGTAGACGAGTATAACGTCTTAGAAAAAGATTTATTATTTCCGCAAAAGTTACCAGTCTTTTCGGGATCGATGAAGGTACATCAAGCTGTTTGGAACTCCCAAAGCAGAGATTATGTTACTTTACGTAGTATGACATGTGTTCTTCCAGACTGTTTTTCAACTACTATTGTCTGCGTTCATGGCAAACATATAGGCTTTTATAAAATTGAAAATCCATTAGAATCTGAAACTCAAGTTAATTTCAATAAGAAAATTAAGGTTTTATCTGAAGTGATTATTAAACCTAACCTTGCCAAGAATTACAAGACCAACCACCTAAATTTGCCAAATGTATCTGTTTTTTTTCAAATAAAAATAATGTTCAAGAACCCAATAACAAAATTACTTGTGATTTAAGTATGAATTCTTTAAAAGAAGAAAATATTTCTCCGATTACGCTTGGGTCTTGGGTTCTGGTGGAGCTTAAAATTAACAAGCGTATTGAAAAGTGTGTTGCTTCGGTGGTTGATATTAGAATGAGTGATTATCATGTTATTTTTTTAGATCATGTTGATGGTTTACTATACACTTGGCCGAATCATGGCGATATTGATATAATTACTACCAGTTCTATAAAAAGAGTGCTTAAGGAACCTACTTTAAAAAACGATGGTGAGATTTTGTTTCAAGCTTTAACTTAAGCTGGTCCATTAAAGGATTTAAATGTTGATTCAACTTATATCCCAATTATTTTCAGAAGATACTGTTTGTCTATTTATTTTTTTTATCTTGTTTTTATTGATTACAAATTTTACATGTAGTTTGGTTAAGAAATCCAAATTAGATATTTTTGGTTCATTAGTGACGTTTTTTAATAAGTATAGTATTTACTTTGTTACCTGAAACTATGAATAAGCCTTTAATTATATTATTTTGTTTGTGTGATTACTTTGTAGATTTTTGTAATGTGAATCATGATTACGTTGTTTCTTTTTTGTTTTTGATTACATGCATACTAGAAATGGCATTTTTCTAATTTCCACGACATAGTCCTAATTTCCTTGCAATAGAAACATAATTTCCTTGAAGCCTTCCTAATTTCCTTGTCTAACTAAAATTTCGGAGCCTATAACTTTTTTTCTGGCACCACTTAGAAAGTCCCCTTCTATATTAAAAAATCATGTTTTGGATCTTCCAAGTAATGACCAATCAAGCTGGCATTTATTCAGAAAAAATATCATTCCATGGAAAATAGGCAAAAATTAAGATTTTTGGCGAATTACCCGTATAATAAGTGAATGTGTTCTTCCGTATCGATTTGTGTTTTTTCAACGACTTGGCTACGTTCTTGGAATCTGTTTGGATTGCTTTACTGTACGACCTCGACTTACTCACTTTTAAACATTAAAATAACGCTATCGCAGCTTGCAATGGCGTCTGGAAGTAGTGGAAGTGGACACCCGGAACCGGGACCGTCTACGAATTCGGGCCTTGGTGGAGCATCGGCAGTATATGAAGATGTTTTCGAGGACGACGGCCCCTTCTCGATCGACCAATGAGCAGTGTGTGGCATTGTGTGGT